ATGAGTTTTCTGTGAATGAAATTACTGAACAGGTATGCAATATAGAGGCTAATCAAAAAAGTTGGATTGAAGAAATTAAAATTGGAAATAAGTGGTTAAAATTTAAGCTTKATACGGGAAGTGATATAAACATTTTACCATATGATGAGTTTACTAAGATAAAGCCACAACCAAAATTAACTATTTCTAAGTATAACATTGAGGCTTATGGTGGTTTCAAAATAGAYTCTATAGGTTCGTGTATAATTAATTGTTTATTTAAAAAATCTAATCTAAATTGCTCATTAGAATTTTTAGTTGTGAAAACTGAGAACAATAAAACTTCATGTCMAATTTTAGGACTACCAACTTGTGACAAAATAAATTTGATTAAAAGAGTTAATGAGTTAGAAGTAGATAACAAAAATGTCTTTATTAGTAAGAATATGGATGTATTCACAGGGTTGGGACAATTTCCAGATTTGTATAATTTAGAATTGATTGATAACTATCAGCCTAAAATTGTTCCTTATCGTWGAGTACCTATAGCAGTCAGAGACAGATATGAATTAAAATTAAAGTCATTGATTGATCWGGGAGTGGTGGACTATGTTAAAAGGCCAACGGATTGGACTAATCATGTGGTAGTAATAGAAAAACCAAACAAAACATTAAGAATTTGTTTAGATCCACAACACTTAAATAAAAATTTAAAGGATGAACAGTTCCCTATACCAACCTTAAACGAAATTGTTCCTAAGTTAAAAAATWAAAAAATKTTCACAGTTCTTGATTTAAAAGATGGTTTTTGGCAAATTGGGTTAACTGAGTCAAGCAGTAATCTATGTTCTTTTGCAAGTCCTTTGGGAACTTTAAAATTTAAAAAACTGCCATTTGGATTAAAAATAGCCCCATCAGTTTTTCAAAGATATAATACTAAATACTTTGGTGATATTAAGGGTCTTATAATATATTTTGATGATTTTATAATTGCTGCAGATACTAAACAAGAACATGACAAAATTTTAGAAGAGTTACTTAATCGAGCTAGAAAATATAATGTTAAATTTAATAAAGAAAAAATTCAGTACTGCAAAGATCAAGTGACATTTTTAGGTCATGTATTTGACCATAAAGGAATGTCGTTAAATCCATCTCGTATAGAGGCTATTAAAAAT